ATTTGATAACTATTAACTTCTGCACGTGAAGTCATCCGAGGCAAGGGAAGGGAACGTCGCTCAGCGAAAGTGCTTCATATATAAGTAACATTAACTTCCAATTTATTCTTAAATCTACATTTAAGTAAGCATTGAAGTAAAAACCTTTCTGAAATAGAAAATGTTGAGGTCCTTTGCGATTCTGTTAAAAATACGTTAAGTCACGTAAGTCGGCTGACGTTTCTTTAAGTCTGTAATTTTTACGGCTTCCGCCTCGACTCGTGCAACGAAAACGTCTTCGTCACCTTCATCCCAAAGTTACGCAAACTGTACCATTACTAAAATCTCTAGATACAAAAACTATTTAATTCAATTCCTTACACAGTTTTAACAAATCTTACTTCAAACACAATTTTCATATTTCATGTTTTTGATCCATTCTTACATTCATATTTTCAGGACACATATTCATATAAAAACAATTTTAACAAATATAAATCACATATTCTGTTAACATAAAAAATAGCCTACATTCTCCTTCAAGATTGTATTAACATTGTTTTAAGATAGAATGAAAAATATCATATTTCTTATAGATCTTTCCTGTGTATAATTATATATCGTCATACGATTTTTTAAATGTAATCACTTATGTCATCAGAACTCATACTGAGCATTATCATAACTAGTACAATAACATAAAAATAATATACCCAAATCACATGTGTATAATCCGCTATTGTACACCTTTGCTACGCGTAGTTATTGTGCTAAAAAAAAATTTTAAATGTCATCATCTTTATTGGTAGCACTTACGCGTACTTTGTTCTGCCATCAGAACTCGTACCGAGAATTTCGTGACACGACAAAATCAAAGTATCACGCTCAAGTCAGCCGCGATTTCACAGTTTTCCGCAGTCCTGGATGATGACATCGCCGTTCCTAATAAAAGTGCCGCGATCGATCCTGTAAGTTTTTAAATTGGATATAAATGTGCACAGTTCCAACCCTTCGGTCACCTTTCCGATAACGAGGGTTCGAGTAAATTGCTTGAAATCCCTGTCTCCAACCCAGATATGGAACTGTGATCCTACCAGCCCGCCCCCCGTCCTCTCGTCCGTACCCATACCCTTCATTCGCACGGCCCCCTTCTCATCCCTGAGCCCACAGTCATCTGCTATAAACAAACTTTTCTGATTATAAATCGAATGACCTCCAGAACCATCATTGTTTTCAAAATCTCCACCTAGTATGTAATTGTCAGGTCTAGATTTGAAAATCTTACTGCCCTTGTACCCATATCCCAGCTCACCTGTGCACAAAGCAACAAAATTTGCACACATTTTTGGCGTCACGTCGGGCCGAAGTTGAATGACAATTCTTCCGCTCAATTTTCCTCCGATGGCTATATCAAAGAAACACTGCAACTGTTTTTTCAGTTTATATGAACTTTTACTTAAAATTATTTTAGTGTCGAAGGCTGAAGGAAGGGACTCGGTGGAGTACGAAGCCGTACGGACAAGATTTCTGTGGTCCGCGCTGTGAACAGAGTACGAAGCCGTACGGACAAGATTTCCGTGGTCCGCGCTGTGAGCGGAAGAGCTCCGTCCTTTAGAAACATGAATCATTTTCCTTGGTTTGTCAACCAGTTTCCAAGATCCATTCGCCGTCCCCGTTTCTTCGCCCTTCTTTTCTAAGAGGCGGTACATGAGATACACCAATGCCATTTCTTCATTGCTGTCACTTGTTCTAACTTCCATCCTCCAGTTCTGTACTTTATCTTTATTTTCATCATGGCCGTCCAACGTAGGCTGAATTATTATGTTGCATATCTGAAGAGCTGTCAGAAGAGTTGCCTGCTTGATGGTAGGTTTGGAGCGACCATGTACGCTGGTTACCAGAGCCTTACTATCCTTAATGGCAGACACAATGACAGAGGGGTCACCTTCATTTTGGAGAGCTTTGAGGCAATTCAGCGATTCGACTTCGGAGCGCGCGACAGTGAGGGCGGTGCTCTGCGCATTTATCTGATCCTCAAGGTGCTCTACCAGACCAGATTTCCACGCCTGATGTGCTGCCTGCAGATGAGTTAATTGTCGTTCTCTGACTTTTATTTCTCGATCCAATTCCATACTTGCCTCTTTTAGTGCAGACTCTAAATCTTCTTTCAGACGTTTCTTACCATCTTCCAGGTTGCATGTAACATGGACAGAGCACTCTGGGCCTGCAACCTTAAGACACGTGTCGCACCACACATTCGCCAGCCTGTAAACACAGCGTCAAAGTTTTATTTTTGGAAAATTCATCGTCATTTCTAGTCATTTTATAATGGATAAACTTGCAGTGCTATACTGAGAAAAAACCTACAGCCTCTGGAATTCTTTGAGGTATACATATGACCAGAGGGCTTACATAGCAAAAGAAAGATAAAAACGCCACTGCTGATATGATAATTACAAATAGTACCATTATGCAGCTTCGAAGAAGAGTGCATCATGTTTGCAAGCTGTACTTTGATAATTGAGACGATGACGACATACTTTGTCCATGTCCTGAGGATAGAGGCAGTATATACCTCTGAAATGTTAGTATCTACTTATAAGTCCACATGGGGTTACTACCCAAAGGAACAATATCAGCATTCATAACTAACGCTTACAATGTGCTTATATTAAATGTCTACATTTGTTGTCCACCTGTTAGAACTGGCTAATATATGTTTTACATAATTTAACATCAGTATTTTCTGAAATTTCCTAATTTCAGATAATATCTTCAAATAATCTGAATATCTCCTTTTTTCCCCTCTCTCCCTTTAACTTCATCATGTACAGATCTAGCAAAACAAACCTGTTCTTTACTCTACCAGCTGCTTTGGTTGTGTCGATTTCCTCGCCGTCATCCGACATGTAAATATCATCATTCCGATCCTTAACAGAAGTACTCAGAGGAAGCACGTAGAAGTTGTCCTGGAGAGCTGACACGCCCTTTTTGCCAACTCGAGTCAATTTTTGACAGCTTGGGCATAAGAATTCCACTCCACCACCAACTGTATTATTCTTTTAAATATAATAAATGTGTAATCAGTGCCAAAATTCTATATAAGATGAGATAACTCAATAACTAAAGTGACTGGATGCAGGTACAACTGGGATTTGATTCCTGGCGTGGAAAACGGGCAGACGTTCTGGGCCCCAAATCTGATAGGTAGCGAGGTTACTGGGACGGAAACCGCAGAAATTGGGTAATAAAAGCATGCAAATCATGTATTTTGGCAGCCCTGGTGACATCCGTGCTATCCCTCTCACAGCCAATCACTTTCATCTTAACCATTTTTTTTCCTTCGTTACGATCTCTATCTACTTTTCAGCGTCATCTGCTGAATACACACGCATGTGTTATTATTTACGTGGGTCTTCACATCTCACATCATTCCACTCATACTCATAGAAAACTTGTACTTAAATATTTTTATGGTAACTTATGTTGTTAAGAGTCGCAAGTAATTTTCATTAACTGTCAAGAGATGGCATGACATGTTTCTTTTACTGATCCCCTCAAATATGACACAAATACACACCAGAAGTGACACTGATGCTCTATGTTAACCTATCTTGTACAGTCGAAACATCTTCACTTAATAAATAACCCAAAGGACATATCAGTAACCTTCATAAGGTAAAATATTTGTATACAATAATCTTCTGAAAATACTGTTACCTTCTGGATCTTAGTGAGGCAGTTAGAACAGTATGTGTGGTAGCATTGCAGGAACTTTGGTTTACAGTCATCTTGGTTGAATCGCTCCATACAAATACCACATTCTATTAAATCCACTGAACGTTTAGACATGTCTGAAACTTGATTTTGTGCAAGTCCTTGTCCTGAAAATAAGAAATATTAAATTTGCCAGAAAGTTGCTACCATGATACTGGTTTCAAATAAAAATTATGTTACTAAGAGTTTGCACTATTCTGTTTATTTAATAATCCTTGATGTCTTTATATGCAGACCATTTTGTGTAATAATCCTTGATGTCTTTATATGCAGATCATTTTGTCATTGGTTTACAAGTTAATTGATGTGTTGTTATTTTTGGTATTTAGGTTAGTATAAGACATCAACATGTAAGATTTTGTATGGCCACTCAATTGCCACACTTTTGATATGAAGAACATATCAGTCTCTTCCCAACCAGTTTCGCCATCTGCAGATTTTGTGTATGTGTGGTTTTCCATTTAAATTCAGTTTCGCCAACCATGGAATTTTATTTATGTATGCACTATTTTAAAAAATCAATGGCTTCCACATCAAGAAATTCACATTTTCTAGGGACAAGGCTATAATGGCATCTCCATTGGCTTGCCAACTGCAGTGTTTTTCAGTAACATAACCTCTACAGGTGTGATTCTGAGTTCTCATTGCAACAAGTATGAAGATCTTCATCTTCATAGCCTCTACAGCTTATGAGGGACTACAGTACCTTTAACTTATTGCTTAAATTTTGTTGCAATTACAAATATGCTATTGCAAAGTTAATCACAGTGAAGTAGGATTTGAGGTTATCTTGACGGTGAGTACAAAGGTGGCTGTCTTCTGGGTTATAGCACCACAAAGTCTGGTAATTGTTTACCAGTATTTCAGAGGTCACCACCCTGGTAATGGATGCACTAAGGACTTCTGAAACATTGGTAAACATCTACCAGACTATATGGTACTACAACAACCTTCCTAATCACATCAGAAGAATAGAATTTATTTACATTCCATAGATCCTTCATAGGCCTAAACCAAGGAACTTATAATTATTCTTACTCGTAATCAGTATTTCATTAAAAGGTCACCACATTGAAAGAAATGTTTTGAATTAAAGTTATACATCATAATAAGGCCTACATTTTATGACCTACTCTAAATTCTATAGAATGTCATTTTAAAAAAAAATTGGCAAGGTTCAATATGAGATATGCAGGAATTCGAAATGACCGAGATGCAAAAAAATTAAATTCATCCAAATTGCATTTCAGCCGCGCCCCACCTCTAATACCAAATATGAAAATCCCTCAAGAAGTTTCACATATTAAACGTGGTGACTCGGACATTTCTTATGGCTATATGGCTGAAGAGAACATAGATACAGACCTTTAACTGATCACTGCACGTGTCCTCCTGAAAATATTTTCGACCATGTATATCCTTCAACTCGGACTGCACGCTATTCTACTTTCATAACACATGCACCGCCGACAAAACCAGGTCGGGGATTCACGTACCATTCGGCGTTCGTATCATGTCGAAGTCGACAGGATACGAACAAGTGCGAGCGGACAGTTTGAAAGTTTTGGCATTTGAAGGTCATACTTGCGCCCAAATGTAATATTTGGAACAAAATGTCCGTCCGTAACCTATAAATGTAAGTATTCTTCTGCTCCGCTATCTAAGAGCCACTGCCATTCACTGTAAAGTTCTGCAAGACTGATATTTAGAACAGAAGGTCCAAATTTAGATTGACAGTACAGCAGCATATTCTGAATGGCTGTTTTGACTAATTGTTATGTATTTTTAATTTGTTTATGTTGGCCAGCTGATAGTACTCCAGCAAGACAATAAATTGCACGAATTTTATGGAATCATATTGTTCATTATCGTGTTCACAAAAGCCCGACATCAGCCCCATTTCTAGCCATATCTTTCTTTATTTTTTCTTACCCACAACGTCAGCCTCTGGAGGAGTCTGTTCAGCGGAGATATCTATCTAAAATTCTGTATACAGTTCTCAGTTTGTCATGTGTATTCTTTACTTACTCATCCAATTATTCCTTTTTTGAGAATCAAGGACGAGACTCTTGTTCCACAACACGCACTGAAATGATATTTTAGTTATCACAGTCTTTGAACAAAGAAAGAGATAAGCACGAGTTAAAAGTTCTTTATCAGTTCGATAATAATCAGCTGTTCCATGAAAGGCAATATCAGGAATTCAGACAATAAAATGTGTCAAACTTTAATTTTCTCCAAGGTCATGTTGTACTAATAATAAATCGTGACGTCACGATGTCTGTTCCTTCAAACGAAATAACGTAAATAGCTCGATTATTCTGTTGGGAAATGTGTTCGGTTACCAATGCAGTTCATATAAGGGGCATTTATTAAAAAGATCAGTAGTCGCGATTTACAAGCAAAGAACGGTACGTGAAACATGTTAAATATACATTAAAACTTAGATTTAATGAGAGAAAGATAAAGGCCGTTGTAGGACGAGTTTTGTGACATTTATATGTTATTGTTCGCTAGAAGTCTGAAATGACGCTTACTTTTGGACAAAATTTTTCATGTAGGTGGTCAGGGGGCAGAAGGTATAGCTCCTGCTCATTCTCAACCTCGGCAGTCGATGGGGGTTGGTGTTTAGGGTCACGCCCCGGCCGCTCTTTATCCCCGGGGGAAGGGACCACCCAGTACCCACTGGACAGGAGGCTGGGTGGGCCCCAGTGCCTGTTTGAACGCAGAGACTGTCTGGTATCGAACCTCAATCGTCCAGCCCGTAGGCAGTCACCATACCGAGCAACGAAACAAAGATGTGTGTTAATTTAGAAACACCAACCTTTGTAATTAGCCTCAAGCCAAAGAACTGAGAAACTATCTGAAAATGACCAGTGAATGTTGTGTTACGAGGAAGTTCTTTAGTTTTTGGCTATGCAGACCAGTTAGTAATAATGCGAGGCATAATTTTGTTTCAGTACATTGTGTTTTCAGTTGTGAACAAGTCAGTTAAAATTATACCATGTCTGTCAATAGGATGCCAGGTACCCAAGTTCAAAACCAAGTGATATCACAGAAACAGTGCCGTTGGCGGAACAGCAAGACAGACAGTCATCACAGCATCATTTACAGTCTCAACAAAAAACTATGAATGACAGACCACCCGATGGCATTAACAGACTGGTAGGAAAATATTTATTGGAATATGTAAAATAATTTTCAGTGGTGTGAAATATGTCTCTAGTTTTCTTTTATTTGCCCTGATAGATGTTTTTGGACACCCTGTCTCAAAATTTGCTTCCACAATATTGATAACATTTCAGAAAATGAGGTTTTACAAATGTAATTTTTGCCCTGTAAACTTTTATCTCACCCATTTACTGACCTAATGTCAGATTTTGAAAACTCAAATTTCTTCCTGAGAATACAAGTATAAAAATTTGTGTGTGCACTATATAAATTTTTTTACCTTCAACACTTAGTTTAGGGGTTAAGTTTAATGCAGATATTCGTCGCGTGCACTCTGGTTAATGTTACAATGTGAACAATATTGTTATTTTATTTGGATTACATTGATAAAAATAATAATGTGCTGTCCTTTCTCTGTTTTTCACTATTAGTTTAGAAGATAAATTTTTTTGGGGGGGGGGGCATTATATGGGTAATCCACCATTTATTTGATTTTTTAATAGAACAGGCTGTTAAAAATAAGAATTTTCATTCCTTTTTATCATCTTTACATTTTTTTGTACATACATTCTTTAGGCATACTGTTATTAATGTTACAAATTCAATGTTATTATTTGCGTTACTAGAATATGCAGCCACAGCTGGTCCCGATGATGCCTGTACCACCATTACAGCACTTTGATACTATTCAGTACCAGAACCTTGAAAGACTGAAAAGCTTATTTCCTGAACTCATTCCTGCCTTTTTAAGAAAAGTCTTAGGTAAGTCTGTGTTGTGATTACGATAACATCAAAATTAATTATTTTCAAAACAATTGAATTTCAGTAGCTATATCTTGCCATCTTTATTAATGTTGACTTAGACTCGTAAATATAGACTAAATTTTACAGATATTATGTACAGTACCTGCTATTTAATTAATTTTTGTATTTTTACAGAGTTGTGTCAAGGCGACTTTATTAGGGCAGTGGACAACCTCCTGTACATTCAGAGAAGTCAACAGAATCGTATAATTCCAACTCCACAGCCTCTGCCCTTTAATATGTTACTGACCCAAGTTTTAGGGGTCTCTAGTGACCCGTCTGTTGCATCTGGCTACTATGGCAACACGTGGCAAGGTCCCTTGCCAAACACTCAGTTGTCAACTAAACTAAATCCAAGGGTTCTCTTACCAAATATTAACATTTTACAACAACCTCAGCAAGTCTTTCGAGCGCCAGTACCAGTACCTTCATTTGAATATTTGAATGCGAGACCATATCATCCACAGTTCCTGCCTTATATACCGGTTGTCCCCCAATTGGAACCACAATTTCACTTTGTGAACAGCCATCAAGAACCTAACCATCAGCAACTGTTGGGGACTTACCAAAACCTAGAAGTATCAAAAGTGTTATTGAACTCACCAGAATGGAACAGAACTCGCGGTAACAGTGTTGCCAATCTATCTGCACCTCCGTTAATTGAAAACCGTAACTTACGAGAAGATAAAGAGAATTTGCCAAAAAATGTCATAAACATGGGGAATGACGTTACAAAGAATCAGTGCATGGAGAATCTGAAACTTGTTCGGACAGATGAGATATCAGAAAAACAGAAATCTGTACACTCTTCTGCACCCCAAAAACGACCTCACTTCAGGATCCAAGATGAAGATAATAATATTTTGACAAATGAGAAGAAGAAGAAGAAGAAAATTAAGGTTTCTCAGTATTTACCATTGACTTTGTCAGGTAAGAAGACAAATTTTGTGTTTTCATGAAACTAGTATCATCTTGCTATATAAAATTGTCTTAAAATGTCACATGAATTAAACATCTGGAAGTAAATAAAACCACACATTTTCCAAACAGAACACAAGGGCACAGCTTTATATAAATAAAATCAATTTTTGATCTTAATTTTGCTGAAAACACCTGCTTTGTAGGTCATATGGTGTTTGTGGACACATCTGTCACCAGACATCCAAAATTTAACGTTAAACGTTATCAATTGCAGATATTTATATTATCATACTCCAAGTCATGAAAATAAAGTAAAAAATGTAGAAAAGGGAAAAGAAAGGACAGAATCTGTTGTGACTTTGAGATTATACAAAAGGTTTTTGCATTTTTTAAATTTGGTAATGATGGACGTATGAGCACTTATGATATCTTAGCTGGCGTAAGGAGGGATGAGGGGGTGTGAGGAATAATTGTTTAGGGGAGTTCAGACTACGCCCATGTCCCATGAAATGTCATTACAAATTTGATTAAATGTATAACAAAAATGTAATTTGAACAAAGCGTGGTTTATAATCCATTTTATTTCAAAGACGCGTCACACAGAAGATGTCCGCAAGTGAGTGTTGGTGTTGGACCGACACCAGGATTATTACAGTCAGCCACGACATGTCCTCCTGACCACATTATACCAGACAAAAATACTCCACAGTCCTGTAACATAAAGGTAGGCAAGTTTATATTCTTAAAATATAAATGATAATGAAGTCTTTCGAGCCTGGACATCCTCACTGCTCATCTTTTTGGTAGTAATAAAAATCCTATCAGAAAATAGGGTATCAATGCTTCTGTTGAACAATTAATCCAGCCGATATGTGTTTTAGGTTATAATTAATGATTTATTTTTTACTGTGTTATTGCTCTCGCAGGTAATTTTTAGATAAAAAATAGTTTTCTTAACTGATAGCATTATTTTTCAGAAAAAATAATGCACAAAAATATATGACTGTACAGTTTTGTATATTCTTGAAAGAAATTTAATAGGCAGGTTAATCATTATTGTTATCTGTGTAAGATTTGAGGTTTTCACAGCGGTGAGTATGAAGATTTCCGTCTTCTGGGTTGTTGCGCTGTGTAGTCTGGTAGAAGTTTACTGACGTTTCAGAGGTCATACTGCCTCCGTCAGGGCGATGAATATATTCATTGACCAGACTACACAGCGCAACAACCCAGAAGACGGAAATCTTCATTATTATTATCTGTTTACTTGTTTGTATTTTATTAATAGAAACAACTTCCTAGGCAAAGAAATGTCATTGATGAGGTAGAAGATAAAGCTTCAACCTCTGTAGTGCAGGACCAGAGTCGTGAAACTGACGGTGTTCATTTTGCTGAAACTGGAGCTTCCGTGGAACAGAGGTACATATAAAGAGATCCCTAATTGAGTCGAATTATATTTACAGCTCAGAAATTCAAACAGATGTTTTAGATTTGACTCTGGTGTTGAAGTTTGTAATTTGTGACTTAACATAAAAATTTTCCACATGGTTTGTGTATTCCTTATGGAAGTGTTTTGTTACATGAATATTGTTCTTCATTTTGTGATATATATTTATGTATTTATGTTGCATTTTAGGTGATTTTCACTGTATTGATTAATATTTGTTTGTGTTATTCGCATGAGGCACAGTCATTACATGATTCTGACCCTGCTGTTTCTGCTAGAACAATCTGTAACCTGGACATGTTTCCAGTGGACAGTGCCTCACTGTAATTGCAAAGACGGGTCAATATTGATACATGACGACTACATGTGTTTCCAGTAAAAACATATTTATTTTCTTTGATTGTTTTAAAATATAGATTCAGCTTCTGAGGCTGTTTAGCATTAAATTTTATAATTTGTAGATTGTTCTGAATAATAAATTTATCAGAAAGTGTTGATTATCTTTTTAAGGAACTACAGTAATTTGTTCTTATTCATATTACACCATCGTAGTGTAAAATTCAATAAAAAGAACAGTAACAATGTTAAAGACATGACATATTATTTTCATTTTTTTACAAACATGTCCCTGATGATCAAATTGTGAAGTATGCATATGATCATTGTATTTGGTGTGGAGACTGTGGCCTGGGTTCAGACATAACGTGGTTTAATAAATGGTTACCAGGCAAGGCCGTGGTCTAGGAAACACAGAGTTTTCCTCCGGGGACTTCCCCGGTTTCTCCGTGGCATCCCAACAATTACTCCATTCACACACAGAAGAAGGCAATGGCAAACCACTTCTGGATCATCTGCCAAGAACGTATATGAACAGGTTCCAGTCCGAGAAAAGGATGGAAGGATCCTGTTCATATGGACCTGTCGTCAGACAGAACACTAAATAAATAAAACCAATTTTTCAGAGGAAAATGTTGCTTCTGTCTTCATTTCAGTGCTGAAATGGAAAGGATACATTTGTCCAAAACACTGGTAATCACTTACAAAATTACACAATGTCACAACCAATTCAACATGTTCACTGGTACAGGAACAGGATATTAAGATGCGGAACAAATCATAGCACAAATACAATGCTTATTCCTGATACAAATATAAATTACATAGTTATGACAGTAATTTAGTCAACTACAGTATTACCGCAAAAGTAATTACACAAGAAATCATACCCGCTATTTCTAACGTGTATTATAACAGCTGGGGAATTTTTTTGTTTTGGAATCAGTGGATTTTCAAATTTATGGCCTTGATGTAGAATGTGAGTACACTGCTATTTCAATCGAGCCGTCCTAGCCGGATTATGAATTCGACTTTGTAATTCGCCGAAAGGCGGCAGTTGTGTTGCTTCATGGTGTCTAATATGGTAGTCAAATAGTAGGCATGAATTTATTGATGTGTCACAACATAAAAAATAGTAGGAATTATGGAATAAAAAGTTTGTTAGACTTTTTTTCTGTTATACAGTCAATGTTTGGAGAATCGAGAGCTAAACAAATCAAATGTGAACGGACCTGCGTGCTAACAAGTTTCATAATTTCACGATGCTGTGAAAATTGACCTTGGTACAAAGAAATTTGTTTGTTGCCTAACCTGTAATTTATTGCAGAGAAGACTGTGGATCTTTGTGAAATTTGAATTAAGTGTTATAAAGAGGAATATCGATGGAAGGTAATCAAACACAGCCGTGTGAAAGAGAGGTATGTGGCCTGGTACTGACATAAGTAACTTGTGCGTATGTGATATATACGGTCTTCGAGATCTATGCTTGAACACTCATTCCTGTTCAATGTGTCAGGCAGGGGATTTTTTTAAAGCGGACAGAAGAACGAGTATGGTGTGAAAGTTTTACTAAATTTTGTCAATCCTCGCACACCGCACCCGTGGCTGTCGGCATATTAAGTACCTCCCCCCCCACCAATCAGCAGAGTATTTATTGGTCACCCCCCCCCCATTCGCACTATTAACAGATTAAAACAAATTTCCAGTTTGTATACACATTTGCAAACAATTTTATTGAAGTGTTCCTTGCCAGTTTTGGTGAATGGTGCTCATCATTTGCAATGTTAGGAAGTTGCAAGTTTGGGGGAGGGGGAAATTAATTTTTAATGCAAGGTGCAAGGTTTATTGTTTTAGTAATGAAAAATTTTCTTCACAATCAACTTGTGTCATGTAGCAGAAGGCTTTCAACTGAATTAATATTTGTAACTTCGGCTCTTGAGGATGGACCGACTCAAATTTTGAAAATTGTCCAACATTGTAGTTGTGATCTTCAGGGTAAATGCTTGGTGTTTGGGTATGTTTTGAAGCCTTATTTCAGGCAAGCAATAGGTGGTGAGTTGGATATGAAGGTACTGATTGGTGGAGCAAAATTTTGGCCATCTATCCAGTTTATTAAATGATATAAAAATTCTGAAACCTGTGTATGATTTGTTGTTTTTATAGAGTATATAATACCAGATACTGGTCACATGAAACTTTTATTTTGAGATAGATTAAGGTGAAACTGGCTTATCACAGTAACACTGTATTTTAAATTATAAAAATTACAACTCCCTTGGAGGTTATGGCTGGAATTGTTAATTATTAATGTTGACAAATATATTTACAGCTGTACATTCTGTGAATGTTTTATTGTGTTTGTCTAGTATTCGGCAGACGTACAAGATGATGCTAGAGGAATGGAGAATTGGAGGCTGGCTCCATCTCCAGATTCCCCTCGTAAGCATGTTAAATCAACTGCAGTTGTTAAATATTCATCTGTACAATCCTACGCGAACTTTGCCCTCCTACAGTGTAATACAGACTTGAATTTGCCACCTTCCAATTGGCTAAGCAGTTCTGCTGAATCATATGGCCTTCAATATGTATCACCCCATTCTTCAGGGTTTTCAAGGTACGTATCATAGTGAAGAGGATATCAGTTCTGTTTTTGTGTGTGTTCGTAGAATAAAATTGGGAAGTTTAAATGGAGTCTTCTTTTAACAACAGGTTATGAAATTCAGCATTGATATTCAAAGTTCAAGTTCCAAGGAATAATTCAGCCATGAATGTTGAGATGAATGTTTTTCTAATTAATTTTTTTAATTGAGGCTGATTTTAATGAAACTTGGTCATGACATTTAAGAAAAATTGACATTATATTTTTAACATGGTCACCAAAGCAAATTTTTGAAATGAATGAAAGGTTAACATTATTCAGTGTAAAATAATGCAATTTTTATGATTGAAATATTTCAATTTTTAATAAATCAGATGTGTCACCTCTGTATTTTTAAATTTTCTGCCGTCAGTTATACCATCATAGGACTATGGAGACTTATGAGTTGGAAATTACATTTTTTCTACTTAATGCAGGTTTCTGAAATTTCGTGTGGTAATATATTATAAAACATATATAGCTTTTGTTGAGGTTATGTTTGCGTAGTTCATAAACAACGTGATATCAAACTCAGTGTTCAATTATCTGTTTTGTGGTGGTAATGAATGTACCACATGTTCAAAGAACACAACATTTTATGCGGAGATAGACAATAAATGTACCTACAGTGTAACATTTTTGTTATTTAACAATTACAAACTTGATGGCTTTATCCGACAAGTGTAATGTGGTAGGATTCTGTACTTGTGGAAATTATGCATAACATTAAACCATTAGATTGTATAAATATTAAGGTGATCATAAATAGTTGTTGTTCGTATGAACTGGGGCTAACAATTTATATTTTTTATTGATAAAGTTTAATCTGTGTTTCATTAGTTGTGCCAAAACTTTTGAATCAGGTTTCCATGTACAAACGTGTTTCTTATGTCACGTGAACATTTCAGTTTCCGGATGGCTCACATGTTTCCGGATTGTGTGGGTGAAGTGGATGTTGTTTCGGACGCAGAGAATATAAAGAAACTGTTGAAGATCCCGTACAGTAAAGGGCCGGTTAGTTTCCTGTAATAGTGTCTAGGTTTATTTAATTATGCTTTTCCAAATACCTGCATTAATATAGGATGATTAAAAATGATGAATTGGAAAAGATGTGGAATAAAGTAATAATGGCCTACTTTAAAGCATTGTCACAGCATTTGCTTGGAGAGACTGAGCAGTGCCTTGAAAATTCTCATGGTATTTGGTTTCTGGGTTGAAATTCAAACACGGCCTCCTGCAGATCATTAAAACTGCAACATTTGTTAGTAGTATTAAATTGGGGTGGGATTTGGTTTTTGAGAATCATTTCTTATTTGAAACTGAATGTTGCAATAAATTTATTATCACTTTATTATTGCCTCATTTGGTGTTTCAGTAAGATATATGTGAGAGGTGCTGGGATTGAGATTATATATTTTTTAATTTTATTGGTGCTTTTTGCAGGTAAGCATGATGGTACATCGGATTGAGAACACTCTGCTTATTGATGAGTTTGATATACATAAACACCTGCTACGGACTGCAGAAACAGAGTGGGAGTGGCTGAAGAAATTCTTTTTCGATCACGTACTGAAATCATTGAATGACAAGGTAATACATCAAAAGTCTCCAGAATAAAATCTCGCAATTTAAAGTAGCATGAAAATGATACTTAAATACTTACTCATATTACTCTGTCGACGAACTCCTAATGTTTAAAAATTAATTGAAATCTTTCTAAAGGTTATTATCGTATATTATGGCTTATCTACTGCGTGCATGAGTGGTCAGGATTTTTGCTGTAATTGTGGTAAGTCAGAAATTTGGATCTTGGCTTCGGAGGTTGATTTTAGTTCCCCATCCCCCACCTCACACCCCCATTCCTGTCAGTAAGTGTTGGAATAATCCCATACAGTAGGTGTGACTGTTTCCTTTGACGTCTGTAGTTTATCCTTCAAAGTAATCCTCATATTTGTCGCTGTACAATGTATGCAGGTCAGAAAGCATCGAGTCACATTCTTAACCACTGTATATCAGCCACATGCATGTGGGAGGATAATATTAAAATGTATCATATAGTTATAGACTGTTGTGAGCATGGTGATGAATTGTCAGGTCCCATAAATAGCAGGAAATTTGAGTATCTGAGTTCCCGAAGCAATCACCATCATTACGGACACGTTAAAGATCCAAGGCCGAACGTATCTGTTAACAGGAGAAGCGGTTGTTCCACAAGAATAATAGCCGTTGTGCTCTGCAACAGAAGAGTTTGATGTCAAAGTTCCTGTACCATAGTCTCGCTGTATCTGAACCAAAAAATGAGGAAAGCGAGATGCAGGAAAATAACATGGAGGACATTGACGCTCCTCTGTCGATGCCCGTGGCGACGGTGAGTCTTTGAAGCCGACTGTCGTCTGGGATGTTGTGCCATGTAGTCTGGTAGAAATTCACTGGCGTTTTACAGACTTATTTACTTAACCGTAAATAAATGTTGACAGATGTCAGAAGATTTCTGTC